TCATATTACATAGTTATAGCTGGACTATTGCATATTGAAGGGTTGAGTTGTGTACAGTCTAAAGCTTATGATACATATATATCTTATATGCTTTATTAGAAATGTATAGTGCAGTTCCAACTATAAGTACATCACTCTGAATATAGTGATAGGTGGTTTTCTTCATATTGAATGATTGAGTTGCATACAATTTAAAGCTTATGGTTAATATATAGCTTATTGTACCTTTATTAGCAATGTAAAATGCAGTTCCAACTATAAGTACATCAACAGTAAGTTTTCAGACCAAATTCATGGGGAATGACTTTGTATGCAACTTAACAATGATATATAAGTTTAACATCAACACTAATATGTAATCCATTCTCTTAGCCTATATTAAAGTATTTAAAAATATAAATTAAGTGGGATGTACTTGTTCTAGTTGTCGCTTGTCTTTGTTGATAAAGAATACCGTCGGATAATATCCTCCAAGTTTTTTCCCAAACATGTTATGGTCTATTAATTGTATTGAACAGTAGCATAGTGACAAATAACTTTCTCAAAAAATATCTGGAACCCCAATCATTTGCCTCATTTATGGCTGCAACATATTCCTTGTCATCATTAAGAAATCCCATTTCGAAGCATGCATCTCTAAAACTGTCACGAACTATTCCACCGACCTTCTTTATATCTTTATAGCAAGTCGGTCTCTTGACAACTGTCAGCATCATTCTTAGGTAATACAACTCACTGGTACTTGGAGGCACCCAAACTAGTCTTCCAATGGTATGACCTCTTTTACGTGGATTCCATCGTCGGTATCTTTTATCATAAACAAACTTGGAAAGAAAAGTAGAGTATGTCAAATTCCTCGCCTCTTCATATGTTTTGTTTGCTTCCATCCAAGCTGTAAACATGGATTCTTTTACACTCGGTTTGTCAAGGACTTCATCTATCAGTTCATAATCAGTATAATAAACCGGATTGTCGCCCTCAAGATGAAAATACAACCTTTCAACAGCAGGAGATCTCCCATGTATAGGAAATGAAAAGATCCTCCAACATGCTTCACTTGGTGACACATATCTACAATCAAGGTATTGCTTGATTTCATCAACATTTCTAACAACACAAATTCCGTCTTTGTCAGTTTGAACAATAGCTGCAGTTATTCTATCATAGCCCTTGCTAATATACTTGAATAAGTACTTAACCGAAGTGCTCTGATTGCACCACTCCATATTTATGTGAGCCTGAAATTTCTTCAATAGATTTTCATTATAAGGAACGACATATCTATTATCGAGGACAACGTTCTTTTTCACAACTGTATTTCTAGTTTCCCTTCTTCTGTAAATGGGATATCCTTCATGATCAACAACGGTTTGTAGCTGAAATTTTTTGGGAAAGAATTTGGAGCACTTACCATTTTTCATGCAACTTGAAGACCAGTCTGCTAACCCACATGGACCATGAATCATATGTGTCTTCACTAAATTATACAATTCCCTATCATCTTCTTAGGCCGGTATTTCTGCCGAAATGATATTGTTGATGTCTTCTGGAGTGGGAAACTTGCTCGACCGATGCATGAAAAGTAGAATATGTGCATGTGGTAAACCTCTTTTTTGGAATTAAATGGTGTATATATCTGAAATAATTGATATTAGTATAAAAATATGAACAAAATACATTACATATAGGTAAATAAACATAAAAGTAAATTCAAACTTAATTAACGTAACTTACATGCAACAACTCTGCCTAACTCATGCTTCTTTGTTACATCATGCAATAGCTCATCTAACTTTATTGTAAACACTCTTGAGATTATATCCGGATGATCTTGAGGCTGCAAATTCATTTTTTTAAGCAACCTTTGAATTTCGGGCCAATTTGGATTGCAAGTAAAGGTGATAAAAAGATCTGGAAACCCAATTTGGCTACAAATCGCCATCCCATCAAAGTATAATTGTTCCATGTATCTCTGACTTCTAACATAACTTGATGGTAAAACCACTCTTTTACCTTTGTTTTCTCCATGAGTGGTTGATTACTGTTCTGCTACAGTCAAATTGGAGTACTTGGAAACTCGTAGTTTTTTCTGATGTTTGCGGATATAATTCAATCTTTGCGACTCCATCATAGTAAATCTATCAACCAAAAATTGTTGGAATAACCTCCTTGACCTCAACAGGGTATGTGCTTCGGTATGTCTTGTTTGAATCCTAAAAGTAATCCATTCTCTAATGGTAAGTTTATTCATCTCCCTTTTTTTTATTTGTTTCCCTATGTAGAACACCAAGTCTAAAACCATATTCCCCATATGGAAACAAAAGTGGATATTGTAACGCAAGATAACTTGGATGAAACTCACTTATTCTTTTCAGCCTACCACTTTGTCTCTTAAGGATAATATCCCTTTTAGAACCTGTGTCAATATCACCAACAATAAGTGCAGCCACCTCAGAGACAGTAGGTTGGTTGTAAATTCGTCCATCTTTTGATCTATCGGATATTAACTTCAGTTTGAGGTCAGGTACAGGACAATTATTTAGTCTATCTGCAACCATTCTAAATTATTTAGCATGTTTATTGAATTCATTAAGCATGTGTTTCAACTTTGTAACAGTCTCTGGTATTACATTGGGATTGTTGATGCAATATAAAACAAAATAGTTAGTATGCATGACAAACCAAATAAGGCGATGTAATGTAATAAAAGCAACAAAAAATAACATAAATACAATGTAAGCAGGTTAAGTGCTATCAGAATCATTACCTTATTCCATTCATCCTATGTTGAATTTCATTGTCAGTGTCGTAAATATAAAGCTGAGCAAATTTAGGTGTTTGTCCATCAAGAGGAATCATGCTCCCAATTCTATGGAAAGTCTGACCATTCACTCTCAAGTTCGGAGGACCTCTTCCCGTATTGAATATGTTGTCAAACTTCATACCAGTAGGCGTAAAGGCAAACATTATGTTGTACAATCTGCAATTTTGCTGATAATTTCTACATTCTTGATCGTTGTTATTCGACAACAGATGCTTAAGTAACAATGGTGGTGTTTTCAAAAGTGGCAACATAACTTTACCATTTCCACAACATAATTGAAACTTAGGAACTTCACTATGTTTTCGTTTGTCAGTCTTCTCTCGATACCACATTAGTGCTCAACAATGTATGCGTTCATTAGAAGGATCACCAATATCTGAATATCCTATTTAAAGGACATAAAGAACAGGAACATAATATTATAAACACAAATACACGCATAAGTAACACCAAAATTACATGTTAAATAACTGCAAATTACCGGTTGCAGGAATATTGAAAATTTGGTAGAATGATACATACCAGCATTTGTACAGTTCAGTGGTGTATAATCTGTATCATGGTCTTCTTCTTCTTCATCGAATGTTGAACTTGTATCATAGTCAGGATTTCCATTTATGAATTCGCGTGAACTATCGCTAAGTGATTCATCAGTTGCCTCGTCTGCAAATGACTCATTACCGTCATTGTTTGCATTTGTATGAGAAGGTAATTTGGTCATGGACAAAGAGGCACAACAATGATCGAGGTCTGAGAAAGTAATGAATAGGTTGGAAGTAATATAATTAATGACATCAGCATCTACATTTTTTTAGATGAACATACGGATCCATATTGATGTGCAAATGCCTTATTGTAAGTTTGATTACTATATGTGGAGGTTAAACCACTCAGAGGTGTATTTGTATTGTGTGTGAGTGAAGAATTGATCACCACATTACCAACGGGAGTGTTGAGGATATTGTAACGATTGCTGCGTGTCTGTGAAAACTTCTGCTGAAGAGTTGTCTTCCTTCTCTGTCGTGCTGACACAACAATTTGTTTTGGGGACATGGTATCATGAGTAATAATTGACTTGTAGGTGTCTGATGTAGATTTTGGTGTTGTGAGATCACAACTTGATGAAGAAGCATAATATTGGTTGTCAAAACTCCTCATCTTTAATAAAATGGAAGACACCATGTCATTAACACCAACATTCAATCTTTTAGCAGATGGCCTTCTCGTTTTGTCAAAAAATTCTGGTTTTGCATTGAAATTCTGGTTTTTCTCATCCATCACAACAGAAGTAATGTTAGATAGTAGAGTTCTTGGAGGAATTCTGGATGGAGTATTATACATCTTAAAGGCGTTGTTATGGTTAAATATGTTTTCATCAACTCTGCTCCTTTTGGATCTTCTTTCTTTAAGAAGTTGCTTCCTTTTGTGTCTGTTAAGTTTGGCAACAATTTGCCTGTCAAGAACATGGTTGTCCATGGTTTTTAGAGATGATACCTGAAAATTAATTCGTCTGCTTGTGACTTTGAGAAATTGTATTTGATGAAATATTTTTACATACTATATCTTGAACTGGTCAGTAAGGTTGTTCCCTCTTTGTTTGAAATTGTGGTTCCATGTGATATTGAAGTTAACATGGTTTTGTTTAATGAGTTATATTACCAAAGATATAAATATTAATTAAAATATTAAGTTGTATAACCTATTGGAAAAAAGATCCAGTTTAATGAATAGGTAGGCTTATAAATAAAACAATATAAGCAAAATTGAAAAGCCAACTTAAGTGTAAACCGTAAAGCATGTGTACAATAAGTGATAACTTGCAATTATCAATAGTTACCAATGTGTAATAAGTGTTATGTTGGAAACTTAAAAGAATGGGAATACATGCTTCACAGTTATATTCTATTGGGTTTTTATCTCAATGAATGACATGTTTGACCAAGCAATATTTGAGTTATGTTGGAAGGATTTTTATCATAATTACTTTCTGTGACATCACATCCGTGCAATCACCTTTTCAATTTTGAGAAGAAACATTTTACATGTTAGGTTTTTGTATATAAGATAAGACTCATGTAGGTTTTGCATGGATATCCATCGAAAACTTTGGTTGTATTAGAACAACAAACAGCTTTCTGCATATCATTTGTAAAATCAAGCCACCTAAAAGTTGAAGATGTCTTCTCCAATCTTGAAAGGGTAAGTGAAATAATAAAATCCAGAAACACATCTATTTACACTGAGTAATAACCTATTATATATTTTTTAAATATAGTTTTCTACTGATTTATGAACATTCTACGTTTACAGTTTTATACCACTCAACACTGATCAACTCTATGGAATGCTGCTAAACATTAAGGAAGAACCCCAGACACCCAACGTACCACCCGAAGTTATGTTTCCTAAGATTAATGCTACATTGAAAGAAGTTAAAAAGGAGATAGAAGTGGGACAACCGTCCAATGCGAAGAACAATGTTGGAGATTTGGAGAAGGAGGTTTCTTTCATTAAAGAAATCAGCAAGTCTGGGAGTAGGGGAAATCAAGTTTTTGTAAGTAATATATTTAACTAATTGTGTAAATTAAAATACTACATGGTAATGAGTTATTTGATAGTGTATCCATGTGTTATAACTTTAGTGACTATATGCATTTTTCAGCATTTTCCAGCTGAAGTTCGACTTAAGGCCCTCTGTCCCGATATTACCTCGTGTCTTATTAGAGATTTTGACATGGGTGAGTATCTTCCATGTAAGATCATCAAATCAAATAAGACAAATGGTGAAATGTCTCTTGGAAAAGGATGGTATTCTTTTGCGAAGTCCAAAAAACTTAAAGTCGGAGATAAGTTTCATTGCACATACAGATCAGGGGAAGAAATTCTATATGTTAGGCTCCAGAGAAAAGGCAAATAGAATCGTTTTTAGATCTTGAACCTATGATCACATGCATGATGTTTTCTTGAAAGGTTAACTAATATTTCATATTCTAATGATTGAGTTAAGTATGTTATTTTTTTTACTGCTATTATATAGCAGTGGTTGTGATCCATGTTAAAACTTTTGTTTAATTATTAGTATGTAACTTATGGCATTTTTTGATAATATGGTTGGGCAATGTTTGTTGTATTTGTGGTATATTAATATAAATGAAGCTATATAAATTATTAACATTTCCCTAACAATTGTATATAAGTTAGTTTGTTGAAAATAAAAATTGTAATTAAAACTTGGAACTAACCTGGAAGGTTAAAATGATTTGAAATTAACAGAGATGAATGTTGTCAAGCGGATCAAAATGTGATTTGATTGATATTTTGTGGCTGTAATAAATAAATTTAAGATATGTATCAATGGTGAGTGTAAATGGACTGATTAGGCAGAATTTCACCATTACAATTTATAGTAAGAATTATTTGTTGTCTAAAATCAAGTTTAAAGGAGTGTGAAATGGTTTATAATAATCTGTATTTGAAATGGTTTATACCAAAATTTATTTGAAATGGTTTATATGACATATATGGTGTATTTTTGTAAAAAAATCTGCTTTATCAGAATGTTCTGAAGTTGTTACTAAGCTTGGTTAGGACATGAAAAATAGCCAGAAGTTTGGTTTGACAGGTTTTATGATTTTCGGTCATATGGATAATCCTACTGTTTAGAAAATATTAATTTGGGGTAAGCTATTCGAACTTTGTAAGGTTAAATTGTGACAGGTTTTAATCAAGGAGCAACTGTTAGTCAACAACTCGGCAATAAACAAAATCTGATAACAAACTAACCTATAAAATAAATTACATGCAGTATGCAATTTTCTTTTAAATAGACATTGTAACTTTGCAAGCAAACAAAAGGGTAACACTCCAACTGTTTTGAATAAAATTTTCTTTACAAATTGCATTAAAACAAAAACTTATCAACAATTTTATGAATTATAAGAAATGAAACATGAACAGGAACATTGTAAAATCAATATCATGAAAATGCATGCATATGGTTTTCCCTTTAGTTCCATATAATTCATGTCCATGCAACATTGTGAAATCAGAGTATGTTGAATCTCCAATGCAGAATTGGTTCTTTATATGTTTAAAACTATATGTGGGTAATTACCAAATAATAAGAACCTAAAACATGTATCATAAGAAGATCATGTCAATAAAACTTTATACATTCATATTAGGAGCAAAGATAAATACATTCCTATTGGAAGAAAATATGAAATTCCAGTTGATGAAACAGTTTATGCATACATTTAGTATATCTGTGATCTATTGGAAATAAACACTTAACTTACGTGATACTAACCAAACATACATGGTCCAACTGTTGTAAAAATTAAATATTCCCAAATGACATAGACCCTGCAGTTTATTTTCAATAAACTAAAGTATAATAGTTATCAATTAATGTTGAATGTAATGTAAGTCAAACAATTGGAGTTTCCATAAATTTTGATTAATATTTAACCCAGTAAATTTCAAAATAAAGTAACATTACCAAAGTAAATTATCTAAGAAACACATTATATTGTTCAAATCAAAAAAGGATAAACATGCCTAATAAATAACAGTAACCATTTCTCCATTTTGATATCTTTGGTAAGCTTGGTTAAGGAAAGTTGAACACTTTCAAATTCATCGGTTGCATCACTTAGAGACCTCTTAGATGGAGTAAGGCCTGCAATTGGAACTGCAGGGTCATAATCTGCAGATGCAGATAAGTTCTCCTGCCATGAGGATTGATGAAACAATTATCAGAAATAGATTATAGTTTTAACATATAGAGGACAAACTGTAAAAATATGAAAAAAATATAAACTCACAGAAATAGTTAGCAATTCATCATGGGACGATAGATCCGGGGTTTGAAGCTTTGAAGTATGCTGCAATGTCCAAACAATATTAGTCAACTTTAGACAAAAGGGTTATAAAATGAAGTTAGACAACGGGGTTATAAAATTAAGGAGTTATCAAAAATAACCTCTTCGGATCTGAAACTATCCTTTATCTTTTGACGTGTATACTCATCATCTTTGAAGCTTACAACATATAGTCGGGCCTTATTAGGCTGGAAAACAGCTCTTATAGCTAATTCCTTTTGGAGAATTGCATCAAGTTCATACGGGAACTCAAGCGGATCATAATCTTCGAACTAAATAAAAAAAAGATGTGTATGAAACATGGTATAAAATGAATAAGCCTGAAAAAGATAATAAGTATACCTTAATCAAATCCATTTTCATTTGAAGTGCAAAGTTTCCAATTAACTTAACGCAGTCAACGTCCCAAAAGATGAACTTGTACTTGAATTTTCCATCCGAGGCCAAAACTTCGAGCTTAAACCTACAATATTTGTGACAAAAATTAATTATGTCAAATATACAATGACCAAAATAGGATAGTAACATAAAAATTATAGACAGCATACCTCGTTACTGCCTCTACAGATACATGTTTGGAATAACATGTAAGCTTCCCATCCTTCAAAGTCACGCTCTTCGTGCAACCAACACATCCATCATAATACCACCCCGACTGCCCACACTCAAATTTATCTAACTTTGCCACAGTTACACAGGTAGTCTCCTAAAAGGATTCATATTGTTATTAATCCAACACATTCGAAGGACATTAACAAAGAACATATACATGATGGAAACATGAACGAATAAGTGGGATGAATTACATGTTGTAGTAAATTGATTTCAGAAAGATGCAATATTTCAGATTTCCAAACAAACTTATCAAACTCAGAAAACTGTGAATTATGTGTTGCGTCAATTTGGAGACTTGACGACAGCAGTGGCAAATCATTCTTAAGACTGATATATGTAAAAAAAGTATACAGAGAAGCATGGTTAATTTTTCAAATTGTAGAAAGCAACATCTGTAAGTCTTTTAACAGCAAAAATACGAAATGTATGTATACATAATGCAAATATACCCTTCTTTAAGTTTGTTAATCTCTTCAATGGTGACATCATTAATTAACAGTTTTGTTCCATTTCATGAATTGCAAACATTCAACGGATAACCTCTTGTAATGTACCAAAAATAAGGCATAGTAAGATATAAACAAACTTAACATTTCAAAATTTCTTTGTATCAATCAAGAAGTGAAAAATGAAAATGTAGATTTGACTCAAATTTATATGTATTACCTTGAGGTTCCTTAATCCTTGCATTAATAAGTAGAATAACAATATTTCCGTCATCCTTATGATTCATATAATATTGATAAAATTGCACAACAAGTTTTCCCTACAAAGTACATTGTATAGGATTTTTGTTGTACCAACAAACATTGTTAGTAAACGTTTTAATTAAAGGTACATTGTACTACGAAGATCAAAGTACATTCAACATACCTCAAGTCAGTCAATGTAAAGACAACTTTGCTCTTGTTGTTATCAGCAATTATCTGTGATTGAGTTATCTCAGTAACTCCTCCCATAATATCTATAAAGAAATTTGAGGATTAAATTCAAATTATGTGATTACTATTAACAAATCTACATATAAACCAAATTAACAAATGTGTTTAACTCACCAACCAAAAGATTTGACTCAAATTTTCCATCAACTATTGCATCCAATCCAAGTATGTTAAAATAGTTCAACGGAATGTCAGAAAGGTCGGTTTTTTCCACTGAAGTAGATCCACAGAAAATCAATTTGAAACTATGCTTAGTAGACCTAAAAGTGAAATCATTGTTGGAGACCTTAACATTTTGCATGATGTAAGAACATCCAACTGCAAGTTGCATCGTAAATTTTGGAACCAAATAAGGAGGTACGATAACTTGAATCATATCGAGCTGCATACAACGAATTTAGATTTAGTAGACAACAACAACAAATGTGAAGAAATTTACAACATAAGTGAACAAAAGATATTACCTTTGAATCAACCAAAATCATCTCCAAGTGTTCTTTGTTTGAAGCACTGGTGATAGTCCACAGATATTTACACCTGACGGCTATCTTCCATAAGTCCTTTGAATCATTGATGTCCTTCACAGCTTCAACAGGGCGAGCCATACCGTGAATATATGTTTGCTATATTATCAAATGGATCAACAATTAGTTAGTACCACATATATGTTGATTGAGATAAGAAAATGACAACAACAACACCGTGAAAAATGAAATATGAAGAGAAGAAATAGGAAGAGACCATTGAAATTCTTCAGGGTTTGATTTGTGACACTTGATAGGCATTCTTTAATAGCATCTTTTGGGTACCCAATTACTCAAGGTTTATATTTCCAACTAATTGGCATAATACTCATTATTAGATTTATATTAGTTTATTAAAACTGGTTAAAAAATAAACAAAATCTTGTAAATTGGCATAATGTTCATTATTAGGTTTATTTTGGTTTACTAAAACATTGGTTAAAAAATAAAAAAATAATATAACAAAAATTGGTGTGATGTCACATCAGATGCAATAAATGTCCGATGAATGTGGTGATAGTAGATTAATATAAAGTCATATTTGTCTTTTATAATAAGTTAAAGTAAAAAAAAAATTAAGTTGAGTAAAATTGGTATTTTCAAGTACTTTTGTTTTTATAGTTGTATATTAAATTTAATATTTATCATTAATAAATGTTAAAAAAATAAATTATTTATTTATTATTACTTATAAAAATATGAGACATATTTATTAACGATAAGTATATGGGACATATATTTATTAATGAAAAATAATATGCTACCTTTTATTTTTTCCTAATAAGAAAATTATACTAACCAGAATATTTTTAAATGGTCTTATTTTATTAAACAAGAATAACTTTACAAAAACAAAAATAATTTCAAACCAATGAAAATAAGAAGTATTTCTTTGAAAAAAAAAATCTTTTAAAAATAACAGAAATAAGAAGTTACCGATCAAATTATTGAATATTGACGGGAACATTAAGTTACAAATCATAATATTGAATATTAACAGGAGCAAAAAATTACTGATTAAAGTATCAAATATTTTCGAGAATAAGAAATTATTGATCAAAGTATTAAATATTAACAGAAACATGAAGTTATTGATCAAAATATTGAATAAAATAATTTTCCATTAATTATGAATTCAATTAACTTTATTTTTCAATAACCATACAAAATAGTGACATTACGATGTACCACATTAGTAATATGCAAACCTATGGGTACCCACTAGGACATAATTCAATCACATTGCTTTTAAAAACAAAAATCTCCATATCTTATCACTATTCGTGCAAGTGCACGGATAACACATTAGTATCATATGAACACACAGATAATCAATAATCATATCAGTATTTGTGTGAATTCACGAGTTATTACATTATTTTGTACAATTATAAAAAATAAAAATAATGTATAGATTCAAAAAATGAGTTGTTTTTACATTATTTATGTTTTAATATTTTTATTTTAAAATTATTTTTCATTTAAGATATAATATTTTTAAGATAATATATGAAAAATTATGATATATATCATTGATGTAAATCAATTTTTATAAAATAAATTTATTTTTATTTTAAATATATATTATTTCTTTTAAAAATAATAAATTATTATGGTAAAATAATTTTATTTTATTTATTTATATATTTATTGTATTTTAAAAATAAAAACATATATATTACACTAGTATCCGTTTGATATCCCGTTAGTTTTCGAGGACAATAGTGTTTCTTTCTTACAGCCACATGTTTATTTTTGGTGTTGGACAATAAGAGCCACATAATTTTCAGAAATCAATTTCGCTTTAATTTGTTTCCTTAAGTTTATTTGTATTTCGAATATTATTCTTATGGACTTGTTCTTATGGACTTGAGAGTATATGCATTATAGAAGGGAGAGATTCTAACCAAATATGGAAGACAAAAAGTTCTTATACGCGTTCCAAAATTTAGATAGTAGAATAAAAAATAAATAAAAAATTAAAAGTAGAAGAATAATACATATCTATCTGGAGTATATAACAGTATCAACAAATACCTATGATTATTGATTAATATTTCGAATTGAAAACAATCATAATAGCTGATAAAATTCCCGGAAGATTAACACTATTGTTTTTCTGACTGAATTCGAAATATACAAAATTGTATTTATAATCTTTAAATTTAAGCATATTATATATATATATATATATATATATATATATATATATATATATATATATATATATATATATATATATATATATATATATATATATATATATATATATATATATATATATATATATATATATATATATATATATATATATATATATATATATATATATATATTGTTCTTGACTAACTCTACGGCTAATGAGTCCATTTTGACCTCTTCCTTCGACACGGTCTGTACGATCACGTCTGGGCTCCACGGTCTTCCATCGGGCACCATCGATCGTTTACCCTCTTGGACCAACGCTGACCCATGACGATCGACGAGCGCCTCTCAGTCTGACCGATTTCAAGTCGGTCAGACAACCAGAAATCGATCAGACCGCTACCCGTAACCTACCTCCTCCTCGGAACTAACGGCTAGTTGCGGGCACACCTGCCCGGTTTGACCAAGTCCTGACAGATATATATTTTTGCGGACCCACATATCTAGGCCCAAATGGCCAAGCGCTAGGGGCACTATATAAACCATCAGTCATGTGAGGGCCAAGTATCAAATATTGACTATTCATCACTAAAACCCTAATATTTTGTTTGTATCATTTTTTGCTCTCACACTTACTTGATCGTCGGAGTGCCTTGCAGGTACAACTCCCCTTTTTCCTCATCGATTTTCCAGCTCGTATGAAGATCATTATCCGACCATCTTGCAGGTTCTGATCAACTAGTAAGATCAGTGGCGCCGTCTGTGGGAAACTATCTTCCCTGTTTTCTATTCCCATAATCTGAAGACCAAAGATCCTCTCCATTCATCAATCATGGCCGATCACGGTGATCTCCACCTATCTGGAAAGATTGTGCTCTCCCCAGAACACAAGACCGACGGAAGCCAAGAACATCCTCACCTCGAGGATAACTTCGGCGCCCGTGACGAAAATACCGCGTCCCCAAATTCCGTCGATGCTGATCGCAACAACAATCTATTCTTTGACGAACAGTTTATCAAGAACCCTGTCGAATACCAGCCAGAGATTCTACAACCGGTCTGTTGTACCCCAAAATTTGCCCTCCCATATTTCTCAAGACATTGCAAGAAAAAATCTCCAAGGTGCTCAAGTTTGCTCAAGAGTTGGTCAGACAAGCTATCTCCTAAGACAGTCAACCCCAAATTAGGATTTTGTTTTGCATCAATATCCTTGAATCCAAATAACCTCAAGTGCTCCCCAATGCCCTAATATGTTCTCAAGATCATCCATGTCAAATTTCAAGCCCTACAGAGGAAGTTTGCTCAGTCAATTGCTCAAAAGGTCCAAAAATCGACTGTGCTAGGACAAAAGTAAACTGTGACCTATAAATAGTCAAACTTCAATATTTTTTGCCAACATTCTCATTTTGAAGTATATTTCATCATTTGATCAAGGGTTGATCATTATTCATCAAGGATTGCTCAAAATTCATCAAGACACAAAAGTTGCTAAATTAGGGTTTTACAGGAAAAGTCAACTCAACTTTGACCAAGCATAACTTTCTCATACATTATGATAAATGACCCATCCAAAGCTTATTTTGAAGAGGATGCAATTCCCTACAATCCATATTCATATCCCAAGATCAAAAAATTCACTCACAAGAAGTTATAAATTTGGACATTATAGGTCATTTTTGAAAGTCAACAAAAACACCTTTTTTTCCAAAGCTTATAACTTGAGCACGGAATATCAAAATGAGATGAGACCAAAAGGGTTGGTTATAGGACATCTCAAGATTTCTAAAAAGTCGAAGAACACCTCCAAAAGTTCAAATTGAAGAAGTTATGCATTGTTGAAGTTGGACATTTTTGCAAAATTGCCAAAAGTCAACTATCCCCAAAACTTCAAATTTTGTCAAATGGGCCTATTATTTTCCACTTGATTTGAGCTTATATCATTTCCCACGTGTCCTAGATTCAGCCATGAGCCCATATTTTATTTTTATTATTTAATTTGATTTTTTATTGAATTTATTCATTTTAAATCAAATTAAATCATATAAAATCCAAAGCTTTGATTACATAAGATTTTTTGGCTATTTCAGGTTGTAATTATCATCATTATCATCATCAAACTCGAATCATACAATATCATGTGCAAAAAGATTGAGATTTGGCAAATTTGGAAAGGTTTAAAGGGTGAATCAAATCAAATTGGCAAGCAATGATGGGAGAAGATTTGAGCCAAGTTTGTTACCCTAACACACTGTACAATACATAAGCAAGCCACAAGAATCGAAACAAGGGTTGGAATTTGTAGGAGGAGGCAGAACAGAAATTGAAAAAAGTACCAAAAAGTTTGAGATCGAAACCATAGCTAGAGGCACTTTCAAAGGCTGAGACCTGTCCCAATCTCTTCCTAGGTGTTCACACAAGCGATCTAGACCAAAAGAAAGCGTTCTCACACACCATAACACACTGTAAGTATCGCGCGATTCCCCCCTGTACTTGGTTTTGTATCTCAGAAATTATGCATTGTTACAATGAAATAATTGCATATTTGTAATCACCATGCCATTTGCAAGATTTTGACATTAACCAATTTCATTTTTATGACCAATATGAAAATCTGCCATTGCTAGGATTTCGTCCTTGTTTTAAGGGCTTTTATTTTCAGGTACAATTGGCCATAATAATGGCTATGGTTGTGACTAGCTGGCTGAGACGAACTCAACCATGGATTTAGAATGCATTTCCATGGCGCCTATAGGATTCTAGAGATGCCTGGCTTGTAGTGAAGGACCTCCGCCCGTAGGTATATAGGTCTTGGAACCTTTAGCAACGGCTCAACAAAGAAGATGAAGGCGTGTCACTGTTAGAACATAGTTTGATTCTACAACCCTCAGTTAGAGTTTTGATGATAACAAAATACAAGATTAAATGAATTATGAGAA